CAGGAGTAGAGTGTCCCCAACGGAAGAAACGAACCACGAGAGACGTCTCTCTCTCTCTCTCTCTCTCTCTCTCTCTCTCGGCATACAGGGAGAGGTCGTGGAGGACACAGGGAGATGGCAGCCCTCTAAAGCCGGGGGGGAGAGCCCTGACCAGGCACCAAACTGTTGGTGCCCTGGTCGCGGACACCCAGCCTTCTGACTGAGAGAAAGTGCCTGTTGTCGCAGCTGCCCCGTCTGCGGCTCTCTGTTAAGGCAGCCAGAGCGACTAACATAACAGGTATATTTTAAATGATAAGTCACAGAAGGAGAAGGAAATCCCAGTTTAAAAATACAGGCTTAGACGAGGCAGGTCCCCGGGATTCAGGCCGGCACATGAGCTGCTTGTAGCCTGAGTGACAGCAGCCCTGGACATTCCGCATGACCACCCGGCCCGTCTCCCACTCCCAGGTCCAGGGCTGGGAGCCGAAGTAGGGGAGCGGCACAGAGCTAAGTCCGGCCCGGTGTCACGCTGACAGCGCCCCCATCAGGTGGTTTAGGTGGCTCCCGTGACGTTAGCATCCAGGTCCAGCCAGACTGCGTCTCCCTTGTTTCTCAAAATCTCTACGATTTAGAAATTTCTCAACACACACTCGGTGCCATGTAGATACTGTGACTTTCAATTTTATTAACTGCTCCTAACATGATTTTTTTTTCATCCTAACCTCAAAGGTTGTCATTCAGTCCCAGCAGACCATCCACGAAGCAGGCAGTGATTTGAAAATGTCACCCTCACCGCGTGAGTTCTCAGCGCACACAGACGGCCTGTTTCTGTACAGCTGTACCCTAACTCTGCGTTTCGTTTGGGTGTACTTTCAGTGCGGCACCTCGAAGGCTCTTTTTCGCTCTGGGCACGGTTGTTCAGAGTCTGCATGAACTCCCCACTGAGGTGGAACGATCCCTCAGCTTTCATGGACTTGAAGGTACTCGACAGCCTGCAAGCCTCTCTCCCTGCCCTGCATGTCCGAGTGGCCCGTGTCGGTGCCCCGTCCGTGGTCCCAGGAGTCACGCCCCATCCAGGGAGCACAGGCGAGCGCTGGGACAGCCTGAAGGGAGCCTGGCGCCACGTGTGCGGGGCAAGTGCCCTCCTCCCGGTGTATGGGGTCAAGAGCTCAAGGGCAAGCGGGGAGGTGTCTGGCTTCACCTTGGCTCTGGGCTTGGTCGGGCCTGGCGGGTGTAGGACAGGCAGGCGGAGGACACGCCAGGCCAGGGCTGCCCTGACCTCCCTGACTCACAAGGACTCTCTTGTTGGGGTCACTGAGGGCTCCACCCCGTCCACACTCTGACCGAGGACGCCAAGCGTGTCTGCTCGCGGCTCGGCGCTCCGTCTCTGGGGAGGGAGGGTTACCGAATGAAGTCGCTCAGGCCCGCAGCCTGGCGGGATCTCTCTGCCCGGCTGGCGAGGGCTCTTTTTCCGAGGATGGAGCAGTGAGAACCTTTCTCTGAAACCCGGGCTGGCGTCTGGAGTCACACAGGAGATACAGTAGCAACCCTCAGAGAGCTGAATGACGGGGGCTGCGAAGGCGCCCACCCTCGCCTGCTCCCGGGGGTCCTGGAGCAGGCCGGGCACCCGCAGGAGATCCAGCCCCAGGGCTCCCCGCCTGCTCCAGCTGAGAACAACTCAGAGACCATGATGCCAGTCTGACGTCCCCAGCAGCGCCTCCCAGACCACCCAGGCGCCCTGGGAGGTGACACACTTATTCGAATGAATGAGATGTAGCTCAGAAAGTCCTGGGAATTCTGGGGGACTTTCCTCCGGGATTTGCTTTGTTTTGGCTCTGTGGCCCAGACAACATGTCTTAGGTATAAAATATTTTTCTTATTTTATGCCACCCTGCTCCACAGTGTCAAGTTTTTTAACTCTGAAATTGGATTTTCCTTGTACAACCAGGCAGATACTTCTGTTTGGAACTTTTGGGGTAAATAGAGTGAGTGATAAGGCCGGATAACATGCTTTTTGGTGAAAAATGCAGAAATAAGATTGGGTTACTTAGGTGTGTCACACGCTGTCCTGAAGTCAGGTCCAAAGGGGGATTCCAAAAGTGCTTCAAGCTCTGGAAACAAGACTGGTGTCAGTGAGGGGCTTCCTGAGGGAACCATTTCAAAAGACAGCATTGCACGGATGTAAAAGGTACAGAATCTGATTGAAGAAGCAAAACTGGTTATCGCTTTAAAGTCACTTTCTATAAACTCATACATCAACGAATCGCAGAAATAATGCTGTTTTCTGAAATGTTAATAAAGCGTTGCAGCCGGCAGCCAGCGCCCCTCTCAGCCCCAGGTGCAAGTTGAACAAAGTGAAATAGGTATGTTTCTGGCTCTGGAAGATTTCCAAGGCAAGACAATGGCTCCTTCACTCAAGATCCTCGAAACTTGGATGGGATTAGTCCCTGCTCTGATGCCAGGAAATTTATTTTTAAGATCAGGGAAGAGTATGTAGGAGGGAGGGCTGGGGGTGGGGCCGGGAGTGCTGGCAAGTGTCTTAACAACTGGTTCTCCCCAGAAGTGTGTGTGTGTGTGTGTGTGTGTGTGTGTGTGTGTGTGTGTGAAGCCTTTCTGATAGAAAGGATGTGAAACACACAGCTTAAAACTGATGCTGAATGCACAGCACTCTTCATTGTAAGTCAGCTGATTCTCTCCGATGCTTCAGGTGATTCTTCCCAAACCTTTGTGTCTGCAGCGGGCCTGTGGTGCTGCTTCTCTGCTGTTTCCTCAATGGATTAATCACCATTCAATCTGATATGCGATCTGCTCTTAAGTTGTTTCTCCTTCCCGCTTTGTACAAGGTATGCTGATTAAAGTGAAACCTCTCTCGGCCCGCACCCTCCTGACCGTGGCAGTGCTGCCTGTTTTCAGCTTTGTGCACTGTGGTCAGGGCTGGAGCAATGTTCTTTCATTGCAGCTGTGGTTAACGAGTAGTTTGAAAAGTCCCCGCAGGGCAGCAGTTGCTGTGTGAGCTGGTGCGGGCGTCGCTGTGGTGTGTCCAGGAGTGGGGCTGTGGGTGGCCAGCCAGGGGTACTGAGCGCTATCATTCCCTGGTAAGTTTAGGGTTGCCTCAAGAGAAAGAAATCTTGGAATTTTCTGGCCTCGGGTGAACTCGCTGGCATGTCAGGATGTTCAGTTCATCTCTGCCCCCAATTTAGGGAGATGAAAGACGAACGTGGGATGTCCTGGGAGTGTCTTGGGGGCCCACAGGACTTTTGGGATGGGTTTGGGACAATCAGAAAGAGAATTACCATACCATTCCCTTCCTAATTCAACTCCTGATTTAAAATGAGAGCAGATACTAACTAGTATGTATAAAATAAACAAACAACAAGTTTCTACTGAACAGCACAGGGAACTGTATCCAATGCTTTCTAGTAACCTGTAATGAAAAAGAATGTGAAAATAAATACATGTATGTACATGTGTGACTGAAGCACTGTGCTGTGAGCTGGAAATCGACACAACGTTATAAACTGATTGCACTTCAATAGCATTTTTTTTAAAGGGCACTCTTGAAATTTACAGGGAAGATGGGTTCACCTGGGGGCCCTGGGAACCAGGGAGAATTGCTCAGCTCATTTCATTAACATTCATTTTAGGACCAACCCCTCTCCCGCTTGCTTTCATCTTTCATCAAATTCTGCAGAACTCAGAAAATCAGAAAGGAATTTCAATATTTCTCTTTCCACACAACCTGAATTCACTGACTGGTGGGCTGTTCCTGACCTCTGGGTGTGTGTGGAGCCCACACGGTTTTTCCAAGCCTCTGCCTTCTCTGCCCTTGGAACATGCCGCCCTGCTTGTGACTGGAGAGGTGGCAGGCGGCCACAGTGGCCTTTGACTCCGTGAGAATTTACGATCTGTTTCGAAATCCAGGCTGCTGGGGACACACAGGCACTGACACTTGGCTTTGTGCTGAACAGGTGAATAAAGTTCAGCACAAATTGGCGTGAAGAGCGGTGTACACACTCGTGCACTTACACCACATACGTGTGTACACGCAGTCGCGCACACGCTGGCTTACATACATCACCCACAGGCGCAGAGAAGTACGTGCACGCGTGGGTATGCGCGTGGGCGCACGCACACCGCGGCCGGCTTGCCCCCTGGATCCTGCATCCCGGGCGTCTCGGCTCAGGGCAGCCAGGGGC